GACTGCTTTCCCCTAGACATTTCAGGTCATAACTCCTCTCACAGACCAATGTTATTGGCAGTATTTTACCCAATGGAACAAAACAGGCTTCTTGGTTGGAGAGATTAAATTATCATCGACCTTGCTTGCTTTTGCCTGTGTTTTCTGAACAGCAAACAAATCAACACCTTGGGGATATTGTGGTTGAACAGTTCTATCTGCTGAGGCCTTTTGTTTTTATTTGTTATGGAACAGGTCACCTTTCGTTGCAGATAAACCACTGAGCTCCTTTATGGTAAGGCAGAGGACAATGTCATTCTTCACCCCAAATCCATCACCACCAACGAGCAGTAACTGAGATTTTTTTTCCCTTATGCTTTTGAGAATATCTTACAGAGCAACCGTATCAATTTTATGCAATTAAAGTTTGTTCTTGTCACACTTCCAGAGTGATATTCACGGAATTGCACCTGATTCCTCACAGCTTGGCCCAAGCTTCCCGCATCTTCTGTTGTTCCTTGACCCAGCTGTGTACGACATTCCTCCTTCTCCACTGCAGCACTTTTCGCCTGTCTTCATTTCACTTCATCTTGTTGTTTTCAGGCCATTTCTTTGTCAAATCTATCTTGGCAAATGTCACCTGGTCATCTAGCTGGCTTATTTTCCCAATTAATTTCCCCCGTTGGGCCTTTCTCTGCAAAGGATTCTTCTGGAAATGCAGGCATACACTGAAATGGGTTATTCTGTGCAACTGAGGGAGAAGGCTGACAGGGTGCCTGAGTGACAGTGTATTTTCTTGGGTAATAAAATGAAGATGTTTTACCAAATAATTTCATTGTAGTCTGGGGCGTGCAGACTTGGAGACATTGCTCCAAGAGAGGAACTTGCCCCGCGATCCTAAAGCATCCTCTGTAATCCCGTGTAATCTTCTGCCAAAATAAGGGGCTCTGCAGCTCTTTTGGCTGGTGTTTAGGTCTCCCAAGGAGCCCTTGCTGCTTTCCGGGGAGCGAATGCCTCTCCGATTCCTCCGCGCCGCTCGCTCCATGGGTGCATCCGTACGGTGATCCCCGTTCCCGTGGCCGCAGCCTCCCGAAGGGCCGGCGCTCCTTCCTTAGCGGCTCCCCGCCGGATCCGAGGGGCTGCATCCCTGCCCCGCCGAGCATCCCCGGAGCAGGGACAGGAAGGGGAGGGAGCTGCCGGGCGAGCCGTGCGGAGCCGTGCGGATCGGGAGCGCCGGGGCGGCCGCCGGAGCTGTCCAGCCGACCCCGCCCTGCGAGAGCGATGAGCGCAGCTCCCCCAGGCACAGCCCGGCAATGGAGGATGATTTATTCCAGCTCAGACAGCTGCCGTAAGTAGCGCCGGGAGGGGATGCGCAGGGCTGCTTCCGAACGGGCTGCGGGGATGCTTGGAATCCCGGTGATTCTTAAGGAATTATTTATGGGAAGCGTTCTAGGCCCCAGGAAGCAGGCCATTTTCCTTGTGCAGATGCCCAAGCATCCTAGGGGCATCGAGGGATTTATTTACTATGTAAATTCACTCGCTGCTTCTTTTTGCATGAACTCAACCGCGGGGAGAAATAAGAAGGGGCAGAATAAAACCCTGGAAGGGGCAAAAGGTTTTGTGAGAGGAAACGCTACTATTGCGTTTGCAAGGTGGATTGCATCTGTAAATAACGCGGTGCCAGGGAGGCATCTTCCTTGGCCGTCTTCTTCATGCCGGGCACGGATGGCACCTCGCAGCCTTTATTGCAGAGGGGTCTTTGCAGCGCACGCGTTAGTGTTTGCTAGCTGTATGTTTTGAAGAAGCAGACATTGCTGCACAGGGAAGATGCTGTTATGTATGAGAAACTCCTCGCTGGTGGGATGGGATTCCTAGAGCTTACAAAAACGTGAAAAAGCATTGCTGCCCTTAGCACCGACATTCATGAATGCAAAAGGTTTCCTTTAAAAATAAGTGCATTTCTCCTAGCGTTTCCTTATCATGTGGTTTAAAATACGTTCATATTTTTAAGCTATTGCCTCTGCAAGGCAAGGAATAAATACTTAAAGTTGATTTTAAATATTAATAAGCTCATGCCAATGACAGAGCAAACAATTCCATAATGTTTCTAATAAGTTGGGAAAATGGACATGAACTCCATACATTTTAAATAATTAGTCCTGATGGCAGTAAAAGGAAGGATGCATATTTTCATTAGACCATTTTCCCCCAGTCATTTTTTCATTTCTTTTTAAATAAAGCACACAAAAAATACTCTAAAGTACCTTTCAATGTAGGTATCATTTCACTTACTCACTAGTGTGAGATCTTGAAAACAAACGCAGGTTTGAAATATCTCATCTGTGAAGATTTTTGCAGATATGGAATAGTACAGACCATCTTGTCATTTCTGCATTTGCATTAATTTGTTTCATAGATCCTTAAGTGAAAAACTTTTTTTTTTTTTGAATTCCCCATGAGGAGTAGTGGGGACAGGTAGCTCCCTGCTCAGATTGCCATTGGAGTGTTTGCAATTTTTAGACCTTTTTAGACCTTCAGTGTGCTTTGTACAGCATCCAGAGTCATTTCCTCCCAAACGGTCAGTTCTTAAAAGTCTATTTAAACATTTATTCACAAATGTGAAACAATAATACAGGGGTTTCATGATGAGGTTCTTTGCGGACAGAAAAGTTCTTATTATTTTGTGTTTATTTTGCTTGTGGTTTAAAAGGACACTGAGTAGTTCGCAGCATAGATTGTATGAATGATTCTCAGTCATAATCCCAGGGAGTATCTGCTACTTTAGACTCCCTGACGTCTGGGGAGAAGGTGTCTATACTTCCTTTTTAAGAAAATATACAAATGCAAAAGTTTGCTTCACATATAGATAAACCAGGTGCTTGTAAATCTTTTGTAAATAATATATGAGTGGTACTTTCGTATTAATTGCCTTTGTAATAAAGTAGCATCCCATGGGCATATGAATTTCAGTGTTTGCTTGCTGAGAGCATGTATTTTGTAGGTTGTATAAGATTACATCTTCATTCACAATTCTAAAGCAATAATAAAAAAAATAATAATTGCTTGAGTTTGTCCTGCAGGGTCAGCAAAACAAAATTGCAAGCAAGGTAGTTGTGCTGAGGTTAAAAAAAAATCAGAAAAAAAAAAGAGTTTAAAAATGAGTTTCTGAATGGAGCTAAATTCTTTCTTCGAGGACTTTCTTTGTTTTGTCTTTTCTTGTACTGAATGAAGGAACCCCCACATATCCCAAACCAGCATGTGGGATAAATCCCAGATCCGCTGCAGTCAGAGTGGCTTCTTGTTGCTCTCCGAGGCCTGGGATTTTGTTGTGTGTGCTGGGGTTTAGGACATCCAGACCTTGTCTTTGGAAACGAAAACGTGTGAGTGTGTCTGCCAAGACGTAAAGGCCGGGGAAAGGCCTTCCATGTCCTGCTGCGGGTCGGGGTGTTGGTGATGCAGTGCAAGGCCATACAGATCTTGAGGAGCTCTGCGTACCTGAAAAGTGAAAAACCATCCGGGAACACCTCAAAAGGCTGCACATCAGTTATCCTAAGGATAACTGACATCCTCACAAGCTGCCCGCTCTTTCATTTCTTTACTTCTCCGGGATGCTGCCAAGATATCATTAGTGTGTGCAATTCCCTTGGTGGGACGTGCTCAGGGACGTCACGGATGTGGTTCTGCCACAGGCAAAGCCTGAGCTGAAGGCAAGGGCTGGCCGGGCCAGGGCTGCCCTGTTTGTGGACAACTCAGGGATGACCAAGATATTCCTTCCACCTCTAATTTCTCATTGGCCCAAAACCCATTTATAGGAGCTTTGGACATTGCCGAATGGACATTGCGGTGCTGACCCTTACACCAAAGGATTAAACTGCAGGTCCAAATGCCCTCTGCTAGCCTTTGTGCTGAAAGGAAAATATTTAGCTTCAGAAGAGGCAGGAGCAAGACTAATTGAATCTATTTCTGTAAAAACTGCTTCACTGAAGTCCAAGAAATTATCGGTTGCCAAGGTGAAAAAGTTGCACTGTTATTACAGAGCCTGCAGATGAAGTGATGGAAGCTTGAGGAATCTGTTACGTTAAATGTTGTTGTTCTGTGTCAAAATCTTTGTTTGGCCACCCATAAATTAAATGTTGAAGGATGAATGTTGATCTTCTCTCCAAGCCCTGGCCAAGCCAAGAAGACATCAGCAGAGCTAGGTAGGAAAGCACTGTGAAAATGTGTGGAGATCACTGAGAGCTACGTGCAGTCATATATAACTGCA